CCGCGAAACATTGTACGTATTTCATCGGTGGCAACTCATCGTGGATCGGGCTGTTAATTATTTCTACTGAGGTAAAGTAGTATTAAAGGCCCGTTTCTCGAACGTACCTCCACAGCACACGTTGGTTGCGGAGACAAGGATATCTACTTTTACTTTATACCCTTATCTTGACTTCTAAGGTTGGGAGTGTCTCGTCAGTTGGTAAGATAAATTTGAAAAGGGTCTTGAGATGAGCTTAGCTGGGAAAGATCTTCTAGAAAAAGTTGAGATGGTGAAGAATGTCAGTTATTTTAATACTAACATGAAACTGGTATAATCCCATCCGTGATTCGTATTTTGAGTGTATATGAAAGAATTTCTTGAGTGTGCAGTCGAAAATTTCAGGAGGTCGGGTTTTTGGCAAAAGAATTGCCAAATATGATTCTCACCATCGCCAGCTCGTCAGAAACCTTCAAATCCACATGCTATGATGGTTGAATGTCGGTTATGGTACAATATATTATTTCTATGTTCTTTATGGGCACACCTGATAGGTGTTCAGCTTTTGCCTTGTGGCCGCTTGCTGTGTGTATGTTAAGCAAAGTTATACTTATATGAATCTCTCTCAGAGTTTATTGAATTGATTGTCTCTCCCATGAGGAATCTATCTAGGTACTATATATATCTTGAGTATCCTACTAATTCCAAATATAGACTGAATATTAGATTGCTAATACGAACTGCTCAAATCTCTGTTCCATACATGGGTCTAAGATTGGCTGTTACATTATCATGGGCAATAGAAGGAGTGAAACAACAAGGGAGTTGTGCGTATGAAATTGGCCATCCGTCTAGTCGCTAATTGTCACATTTACATGACTAAGTTATTGCCCTTGATGCATCAGCCCAGTTTACTTGCTTGTAAACTACTCAACTTAAACATCATGAGACAACATTTAAAGTTAGGGTAATCTGTTTGACAGTGTAGCTGTGATTACACGACCGGATCAATCGATCTTGGCGGGCAACAGGACATGTCCCGAATAGATTTGGTGAACTAAAATCTTGTGGAAGACCATCTTTCCCACCTCTTGCCGTGTATGTAGAGTATTCTAGTGGAAAATAAAGAGTGAAAAGCTTTTAGCGGTGACCCTCACGAACCTGGAAATGAATTATTCCCCCATAGCGGAGATGCGTCAACCCTCGAAGCTTTGAATAAGTTGGCCCGCGAAGCAATTATTCGAAGTATCCAACCACTTCAATCTCTCGCTCCGGTATGGTTTAAGTAGCTTAGACACCTACTCTACTTGAGATGGAAAAGCTTGAGATCATATTTCGCGCGAAGACTAGTCAATAGAAGATGGAGGCATGTCTGAATAACTCTGGGCTTTTGAGGAATTTCCCTGGCCGAGTATCCTCGAATGAGAGCTGACTTGGGGTGAAGAGAAAGCCACCGTAATTACGTAGTGGTACTTGCGAATGAAATCCGAGGCATGAGTACTCTATTTTTAAAGTGATCATTCATTCATTACTTTATCTGTGATATTGTGTCATAGCTAGATTATGCGGACGCAATTATAGTTTGGTGTAAAAAAAGATTTCATCCTCAAAATTGAAGAGTCAGATCACAGCCCAATCAAGTCTACAAGTACGACCTAGTCCATCTTCCTTTCAATGACTATGTTCTCGTAGACTTAGCCTCAGGTGCAGCTGGCTGATAATGACGCGCCCGCAACAAAATGAGTATCCGCAGGAATATAAAAATTGCGGTGCAAAAATCTGAGAAGCTATACCTTTTTGATGAGCGTGATAGACTCTGGGTCATTTAGATATATTGATGCCTAGGATGTTTGCAATCTCGAGTTATAAAAAGTAGTCTTTGAAATTGAACAGCCTTGCGTCGAAAAACAGCTGGCAAGACTGCTAATACTAATATGGCTGAAAAGAGTAGTGGTGAATTGTTCGGTCTCGTTTCCTATCCTTGATCGTTACGTTTGATGCCGCGATATTGCTCCTCTAGCAGTGTCATGATCGTCATCTTGAGCGTCGTATGAGTTATCAAAAGCGAATCTTTAGAGGATTGGAGATTACCCAGATCAAATCAGAAAAGATGAGAGTCAATCTCCGCTCTGTAGTCTCTGCCATGAGAGTAGGGGGTTCGTAGGGGATATCGCTTACAGGTGTTCAGAATTCGCACCGCCACTTACTATTCGACCTAGCCAAGTTGCGTACCGTAGCAGGAGAATTTGCTAGAAAATCACATGTCGTGGTGGCAGATTTACATGGCGTCATAGTTGGCGATGCGTACTAGATGCCAAGAGCAGCATCTCGGGCCGAACGGAGGCTTTTCACAACCAAGGGCAACCCGGTATAATCCCGGTGCCAGATTAGCCCATGCCGGGACCCTCAAAACAGTGTTGAGCCAGCCATCCACGTAAGCCTCCAAAGGCACGAGCCGGGGGCGCGGAGAATGTGTCTGTTGGTGTGATGGGAATTTGCAGTTGATGGCGATCGGCACTCCAACCATCCGTGCAGATACGGAGCCAAGACGAATTCGAAGCATAAGAGTGGACTGGTAGTCCCGCTTGCACCCATGCTATGCCCTAACCCCACTAGCAGGGAGAGGGCGGACTTCTCTGAATATCTCCGGTCCGCTGGCTGTGGCACATGAGGCATGTGTCATACCTGAGTTTGTCGGTACATCTAAATGCGGTGAAATTTGTTCACCGCCCATCCGCCGACTGTGGCACTACTCAATGTATGTGATATCTCATCACAGTGATAACTTCTGTGTAACTGTTCGCCGTATTTTCGCTACAATGATTTAGAGCGAAGTCGAGGAAATATCTCCTGCCTCATGCAGCACTGATTCCCAAGCCCTATACCCCGCCAGGGAGCCCTGTGGGGACTGGCTACCGCTGCATGCTGCTGTGAGAGTATGGTACAGGGATCTGCCCGGACAGAGCTTACCCCTCATGCTCCCACGCGCCCAACACCGATCGCTCGCGGAAGCTGGCGAACCACTGCCTATTACCCTCAATCAGCACTAAAAGTTTTTTCCGACGTAACAAACATCCCGGAAACGTAGCGACAGCCAACGGCTACAGCCTTGGTACATTTCCTCGCGACGCTAGTATACTTGGATAACCAAAGGTTTTTAAATTCCCTTTGGTGGGTACTTACGGAGGAGGGTCGACTGTTTGTGTAAGCAAGCATACTTCAGTGGTATTTGCAAATAAAATCCAGAGTATGAGTGTCTCTAACTTCAAAAGAGTCATCCCACATGTATACATAGCACCGGTCATATGTCATAGCTAGATAGCTGAATACACATTAAATGATTTAGAAAAAAAAGACCCAAAATATCACCATGGCTATAATTAGAAACCCTGGAAGCCATCCGTACTGAGAGATATTAGGGCTCTTTATCAATTCATTTATTGTGTATTCAGATATCGAGCTATGACACATGACTGGTGCTATGTATACATGTGGGATGACTCTTTTGAAGTTAGAGACACTCATACTCTGGATTTTATTTGCAAATACCACTGAAGTATGCTTGCTTACACAAACAGTCGACCCTCCTCCGTAAGTACCCACCAAAGGGAATTTCAAAACCTTTGGTTATCCAAGCATGCCTTCGTCATCCATGCATATCAGCGCTGCGAGAAATGTGGTTGTGTTTTGTTGGATTTGAACCAGCGATCTACTGTCTCGAGTGGGATACGTGTCCAAGCTATCCAGACTCTACTTGGCAGACTGGCCAAGACGATGTACCACCGCACCATATAACCATGGAGGTATTTTTACTGTCGCCCGCAATCTCGCAACCGAATCCTTGGCACACACAAAGCTCAATTCATAAAACTCCTTGCCAAAATTCAAAATTCCACTCCCGTCGAGACTGCATCCAACCTCTGCACCATTTTGTAAACTTGTCCTTATCCCTCTCACGTCCATCCCAAAGAACTGTCTCCCAGATTTGTGCGCGACGCTTTGCTTCCTTCTTCGGGTGTAAATATCGGCGTGGGCGTGTATCTGGTTACCAGGTGAGGCCAGAGAAAGTCGAAGAGAGGTGTGATCATTGGGATGAGGATGTACTAGGTCGTACTTATAGACTTGATGAGACTTAGATAGGAGTCAAACTCGTTGGGAGCGAAAAAACGATGTGGAGGAGTAATTTGAATCATTGCCTCGTGGGCCAACTTCATTGGTATTGCGAAATTTGACTGAACTTGGCTCTGGGAGAATATTTCACTCCCAGGTTCGTAGAGGACACCGTGTACAGGTGTTCACTCTTGCCCTTCGATATTTTAGGTCGGGAGTGTGAGATCAACAAGTAAACCAAATGATTCCAGGCCAATCCTCTTTGACTATAACCAAATCATGCTGGGCCGGGCCTAGCATCTACTGTCAATGAGTCTGCCATACTTCCTACTACAAAAATTGCTCAATAAAAGTCTCGCTATGATACTAAACGTTGCTCAATATCTGCCACGAGATTCCTGACATTTTAACCCGACCTTCAGATTTTCCTGTGATGCAAATGACGAAAGTTATTGAAAGACCTAGGCTGCAGAGACTGTTTCTACAATAAACTCACAATTCTACCGTGTCTGTCTGGCTAGCTTCATGTCAGAAGAGCACCCGTGTCGATGGTTTTGGCCCGGATATCGGGATGACGGGAGATCGCTCTCTACGATTTTTACAACTTCTCCCAGATTTCACGGACCCGCTAACTGCTATCGTTTCGTTGTCAGAGGGATGATTAAATGAAGACTTGAGAGGTAGTGTTGGTAGGGAGATATCAGTGAAACACAGGAGAAGATATATTACCCGAGCTAAAGGTAACCCTAGCATATAGGTGTACAGGACCTATACACGCCTTAAGAATAGACTGAGAAAGGTCAATAATTATATTAAAAATACTAGCTATATTTTTTCCAGAAAACTATGGCCTATCTTCACGGGTATCGGTCTACAACACTATTTCGAAAGGCTTATACTCACTAGACAATTCATGAATCGTAGTCTTCGTCCCAATCGCGATCTGAATCCGATTCCCGCCTCTCCTCTTTGATCTTCTTTGCCATGTCCGTCGTAAATTTTAGCCCACTTCGGAGCTGAGAAGTAGTAGTGCCTTCGGCTGACCCTATTAGCTTTGGTATACCCTGTATATGCTGAAGTGCTCGAAGCTTATCGACTTCAGATGGCCCATCAGTCACCGTTTTCCACGCAAACTTCACCATGCATGACCCGTCAACTGCTTTGAAGCAAACGTTACCATGCATGTCATTTGCTTGCCGCATTGTAATGGGCGCAGGATCAAGCTCCACCTCTTTATCCTCTCCAGTGTACGCATCCTTAATCGTGACAAAAGTCCGTTCACCATCTCGCCTTAGGGATTGGTCAAGCCCAAGCTCTCCATCATTCATAAACGTGTAGCCGACAATTGCGCGAATGAAACGTTCTGGCTCTTTCGTTATATCAATAGTATCAGAGCTGAAGCTGCCGGAATGATCAAACACCCACAGCTGTAGTTGTGTGCCAAATAACATAAATCCATGGACAGACTTGCGCAAATGCTGTGTCAGTAGTATTTCTCGCATATAGACAGCGAGCCGCAGGTACATTCTGTTCCAGACTTTGGTTATGTCTAAGCTAGTCACCACGCCCACTACCAGCACGTCTTTCCAGTGGTGAATCCGATCCTCGGGCACGTGGCGAAACTTGGAGAAAATGTCCAATTGCCACCGAGTTTCGTCATATCGTTTTTCTCCTGACTTCTTTAATCGATTATATTTACATCGCGAGATATTTGGCTGCTCTTGCTCTGGGACTTCAGGATCGCCTGTTACAACTTTAACTGGAGAGTCTGGACACTGGTCTAAAAAGTGGGTTTGAAGTGTCTCTAACCACATCCAGAAAGTAGTTTCATTGAGCATATCGGGATATTGAGGTACAATACAGCCAGAGTGAGTCTGATTTAGAGCATTGAAGACAAGTGTGCATCGTTCCACCCATTCCTTATCTTCAAAGTACTTTTTCCAAAAGCCACCGACATTTTCAAATGTCGTCTCGCTCAATTCCGGTTTCATCAATCTTTTCAAAACTTTCCATTTGTCAGAATCATCTATGTCGTATAAAAAATCTCGATTACTATCATCGCTATCTATCTCCGGCATTGATTTTGCGGATGGTGGTATGAAGGGTGAACCATAGAAGGAGTGCAAAATCATTTTTGAAGGAATTTCTTTTGACCAAGAATAGTCACTGATAAGTTGGAAGACAGTCTTCCAGATTTCGGTATCACTGCAGTAATTATTAATCGCTTGAGTCAATGGATCAAAGAATTTGGCTCTAATTTTTTCGGCTCGAAGACAGGAGTAAAGAGAAATAAGTTGTCCGTCTAGGGCTACCTCAAAGCCTGATCCAATATTTTTTTCAATGGCATAATTAGCCAAGTCGACAAGAAGTTTACAAATTGCTGAGATATTGGATTTATCATCTTCTTCTTTTTCTTTGGAAGTACGCTTGTCTTCTTCATCGGGTACCTTGAATGTATTCATAAAAGATACAAGAATCGGCCTTAGGGGGTTCCGCTGAACAAACTCCAGGTCCCTCCTAGAGAGAAGCATCTTGTGGTATTGTAAGAGGGTGATGAATATTTGTGAGAGGAAAAATTTGTTGTATGCTGAGGGTGTATATGAGCGAACAGGAGGTAAATGTGAGGATCTCAGGGAGCTTACTACTAACGTTCTGTAGGGCAGGAAGGGATATTGAATATGATTTAAAGGATAGCGCTGAAGTGGTCCTCTGTAAGGAGGAGAAATGTGAAGTGGTACAATATGTGTACAAAATGTAAGAAGGCGTTGCGTGATAAGAGAACTTTCTAACGCCCACCAGACTATATACAGGACATAACACTAGCGCTTCAGCACGTCAGGGCATGGGGACTTTGCAGACTACCACCGCCGTTTCCAATACCTCGAAGGTCTATTGACCTGCAGCTGCGGACGAGAAAAGTCACCTGACTACTTCTTTTGTCGACTAGGGCGCAGCCGGGCACGACTGCAAGGTGGACCTCGACATCCCAACCCTGGAATCCCCTGGGTTCTAAGCTCTCCAGAAGGGGCTATCGCCTTCAGCAAGTGGGTCCACAAGACTAAGTTTTTTGTAGACACCAATTTTCACTCCGAGCTTTTACACTCGCTCCATATATTTAGCGGGACTCAAACACGTACTGCTAGCTCTGTCTATACCGGTGGTAGATTATTTCACCTCAATAGCATGCAGATTTACATTTTCATTCTGTCTTCAGCATAGTTAACAGAAGACCCAGAGGAAGGGTGCTTTTGGTGTACTTTTAGTTTGGGGCAACTAGCAGGAGGGCCAGGGCCTAGTTAGTTTATGCCGGGATCTTAGGAGCGTCGGCACGTCGGGTAGTATTTCTAGACTGAACTAACCGGCATGTGGCCTTGAGAAACGTGTTGCGCGCGTTAACACGACGTAAAATTATGAACAAATAAACAATCCTCACAATTCGGGAGATTCGAAAATGATTTTTTTCCCTCTTTCCTTCCCTTTCGACCTCGTCTTATCCATCTCTGAATTGTGATCCAGCTCAGGCATTTTCACCCTGCCTCCATTTCGCAAAAAGCGTCCCAACGCCAAGTTGGACAACACGAGAGTCCACCCGAGGGCTCTCGAACAATTACCTGGCCTTACCCAGTCTCCGAAATGCGTGGAGATGAGCAGGCCTCTACTAAAGGGAAGGAAAAAGCCCTTCCCATCGTCAACGAGCGCGATACTGACATGATCGGGTCGGTCGAAATTATCGAGGAAATTCCTCAACCATCCTCCGTCCCCCACGGGATTGGAGAATCGTCAAAATCTCCTCCGACCACATCAAAACTGTCGGAAAACGCTGCACTCATAGCAGCACCAAAACTAACGTCGCAGCCAAAAGCTGCCACGAAAGCAGAGTGTCCCCTCGAGCTCCGACCAATAGTCGAAGCTGAACAACGACGCGCCGCCGAAAAAGCGGCAAATCTGGCCCTCTGCTCCGCCGCCGTCTCTGGCGTCGAAGCCACCCTCCTCCCTTTGACCAACGGGTCAAATAGACAATTCGTAGACTCGATGAAAGTCTACTTACGCGCTACCATTGCGCAATACATGACCACGGGCCCTGCTACTACGCCACCCGTTCTCCCTCCTCGCCCGGCGAACTCGACCCCAAGGGCTCCCGATGCCAGGAGTCAAACAACTCCCGCCGTCCCAGTTTTGCCTGTTAAAATCACCTGGGCCACGGTAGCTAGAAATGGACTGCGACAGAAAGCAGTCCCAACTGCGAAGGCTGTGCCGCGACCTGCGGCTAAAGCCCAAAAAAAAAACCCTCATAGCCAAAGTCGACAAGCGACTGTTCCTTCGCCTTGAAAAGGACCACCCGTGGCGAAAATAGTCCACAAGCAGCGTGAGATCTAAGTCGGAGTATACATTCGGCTACTTTAACCAAGAAATAACCTCACTCCACCGAGTGAGAACGGGCTTTGCTATGCTAGCAAAGAACGAAAAAACACGACAAGAGACTTTAGATGGCTCTTCGAAGCTGGCGAGCGAAAACGTCAAACTCGAGGCATCTTCGGATCTCGTCGCCTTACAGATACCGAACGTACCTGTAAGTCTAATTATAGTGTGCGGTACCAGGGCGGTCGATGCTAGCTGGGTCTCTGCCAAGATTCTCGGTACGACCGGCGCGATTCCAATCCAGGTCCGACCTCATGGGACATGTCGACCTGGGGCGCCAATACAGAAACTGGCATGCCATTTTCGACTGGGACTCCGCCCCTCGTGCGGGCTTCCGCATTCTCGACGAGTCCGGAGCGGCTACAAAGGTCCAGCCTCGTCGCCAAATTGAACAGTGCAAACGCTGTTTGGGCTTCCACGCCACTCGTGGTTGCTTCCGCGCTCCAGCCTGCTGGAACTGTGGATCAACTATGTACTCGGAAGCAGAGTGCAGGGCCCTCACAAAGTGTCGTAACTGTGGGGGACCTCATCGATTGGATTCTCGGGACTGCCAAGCCAGACCCAGAAAGTCTGGACCGGTGACAAAAGAGCAGCTCGCGTGGATTCGCCGCCTCGAGCAAGAGAAATTCTTAAAGGTGGCTCGAGCTAGGGCCGCAGCCAAAAAGGCCAAAGAGGCTATTATCTCCGTGGAGAAGGATGTCTTAATGGTCGAGGCAACAGGTTTCGGAGCTCTGGGATCCGAAGAAGAAGTTTGAGGACACAGCAACCTCGATGATGTCCCTTCTGGGGCATCTACCAACAAATAGCAGGATACCGGTTGGATCAAAGGTGCCAACTAACTCATCTCTTGCTTTCAGCGGAGATTGAGTAAATTTGTCATTTGGAAGGTGTGACGGACGACGGAATGTGTGAGTAGCGCATTGACTGGGTCCAATATGGAGGAATCTTCTGTTTTTTTTCGGAGTTATTTTGATTTTCGTGATTTTCGTTTTTGTTCAATCAGCTGCACTTTTGGTAGCGATTCACGAGGTTGGAACGAGCTAGACTGTAGAAAAGATTACAGGGAACCCTGCCGGATCCGCCGGTCCTTGACCCAATGTGGAAAACATAGCGTTAGCTTAGGACTAAAAGTAAATAAAAAAAATCCCCGCACAATTCGAGAAACCCCAATTTTCCCATTTCCACCCTTCTATCCATCTCACCCTTTAAATGACGAATCGATTTGTAATTTTTTGCCATCGGCGGCATTTTAAAATGCCTCCGACGCGTAAAACGCACCAGAACGCGATCAGCGGCATCACTAAAGATCGCGTCATCAAACTATATGAATGGAATGGCGCAATTTGAGGTCACGCCAAAGCTAAGCTAACGAGCAGAGGACTCGAGATTAGTGAAAAAAATATGAACGCCATCGCAGCCGCTCTCCGAGCAAATGACAACTATGTCCCTGAGGTAGACATGGTGGACGCTGAAGTCGAGAAGTTGAAAACTCTCTCAGACTCGAAATGGGCTTCCCCAAGCCCAAAAGACGCGGAACTAACCCCAAAGTCCGCAGATACTTGCAGTAAAACCGTCGCCGCACCCGAAAAGCGCGCTACGGTTCCAGCACTACCGCGACCGGTAGAAGTGAGGCCCTCAAAAGGGGCAGAAATAAGAACCAACAAGGCATCAGGTGCCGAAAACCTACCGCTAGTTCCAATGGCTTCATCGTCAGAAGTGACCAATAGAGTAGACTCATACCCTCCGGAACTACGTGTAGTAATCGAAGCGGAGGAGCGCCGGGCAATGCAGAAAGCCGCACAATTTACCATTTGCTCAACAGCTATTGATGGTGTTGAAGCGGCCCTCGCACCACTTTCCATAGGCGAAAACAAGGATTTCGTAGACTCTATTAAAGTGTACCTAAGAGCAGCAATTGCACAATTTGTGATTGCTAGGGCGAGCACAACTCCACCAGTCCTCCTCCATCGACCAACAGTCGTGACACAGCCTGCCACCGTCACACCAGTGGTCGTTCAACAAACCATCGCAACTGCGGTTGCATCGCCCCCGCCAAGAAGCACTTGGGCTACTATTACCCGTGCTGGTCTTCAAAAGCAAAATTCACAGGCACCCGCAAAAAATAACTCAGGCGCAGCTGCTCCAGCTGCCAGAAAGCCAGAAAAGAAATCAGAAATAGCGACGTCGCAAGACGACCGACTCTTTCTGCGACTTGATGAAAAACACGAGTGGAGACATCTCTCTCCGGCTGACATTCGCGAAGCAGTCGCGAGGCAGACACAATTCACCCCTGCCGACGTTGACCAATTTCAACGCGTCTCTACTGGTTTTGCCATCCGTGCCAAAAATTTGGACGCAAAAACCCGACTGCTGGAGGCCGCTAGCTCCTTCGCACCAGTGGAGGTAAAATTAGAACCGCCAAGCGATCTCATTTCCCTCCAGATAGCTACGGTTCCAGTCGCAGTCTATAGTCTAGATGGACGAATAGAAGTCACTGCCGAAATGGTGGCTGCGGAGATCCTCATAGTTACCAACTATACTCCGAATAAAGTAAGGATCCATGGAAAAACCAAGCCCGGGGCCCCCTATAGATCGTGGGTAGCTCTATTCCACAGGGACGCCAGCCCAAAGCCTGGCTTCAGGCTCTTCGACGACTCAGGGATAGCCACGATCCAACAAACTCGGCCCCCTACACAGCAGTGTAGAAAATGTCTCGGATTCCACGCCACCCGTAGATGCTCTCGTGCACCGGCCTGCTGGAACTGTGGATTCACCATGCACTCGGCCATTCGAGTGTAAGTCAGCCTCTAAATGTCGAAACTGCGGAGGGCCTCACCAATCTGGTAGTCGAGACTGCCTGGCGCGTCCCAACAGGTCTGGCCCAGCCACTAAGGAGCAACTTGTGACTATTCGACAAGCTGGCTAACGGGAATGCCAAGGCCGCTGAGGCTGCCATAGCTGCCGCTAGATCGACACGACCAACTTCTCCAGCTGCTATTAAGGACATATCTTCGATAGACATAGCAATGACTGAGGGTTAGGGCTTTGGGGCCTTAAACCCTGAAGAAGCTTTGTGAAGGGCGCCCTACGGGCCCCTTCACGCCCCCCTCCT